TTAGCCATTTGGTAGCCTCTAGTCCCCTTTTGGTGGTCTTTAGTGCCTCTTTGGTGGCCTTCTGTTCCACTCTGATGGCTTCTAGTCCCTCTTTGGTGGTCATTAGTCCCCCTTTTTCACCTTTATTTCCCCTTCAGTGGCCTTTAGCCTCTCTGGTGGCCTTTAATCCCCCTTGGTGGCCTTTAATCCCTCTCTGATGGCCTTTAGTCCCTCTTTGGTGGCCTTCAGCCTCTCCTTGGTGGCGTTTAGTCCCTCTTAACTCACTCACAGTTCCAGAGGAACCTAGGGGACAGTGACAGCATTCACAGAGCACGCAGCAAAGCACCAGCAGCCAACGTTCCCACCAACTCTCTTTATATAAAACCAACACTGACTTTTGCACAGCAGCAAGGAGATAAGAGCACTTCACCAAGCAACACCTCTCCCTTTTTGCTCAAAGCATTCACTCCAAGGTCAGACTTTTTGAGGAGAGAGGAATTCAAACCACAAAAGTGCTTGCTGAGGACATGACCTGAGTTCTGCAGGTCCACCCCTGGTCCTAACAAGGGCCTTTTTTTCCCCACAGCATCTCAGCAGCGAGACGTGGCCACGGTGAGGACGTGGCATTGGGGACAGCCTCCAACCATCCCACACCATCTGTGTGCTCCGGCACCGGCGGGATGGGACTCTTTCCATCACCCTGCACCTTCTCAGTCCCTGGGCTCCTCAGAAAACACCACCGTGCAGTCAAAGACCTCCTGGAAGGACTCAAGGAAAGGCTCGAGGATGTCCTCAACGGTGACGTGGCGGCCCAATTCGTGGCTCAGTGAAGTGGCCGTCGTCCCCTCCAGCCCACAGGGCACGATGTGCTCGAACCAGGAGAGGTCAGTGCAGCAATTCAGTGCCAGCCCGTGGGAGGTGATGTGGTTCCCACAGTGCACCCCTAAGGGATGAGGCACCCATCAGCACGGCCCTCCCCAGGGCAGCACCCACCTGCGTGTGTCGTCCACCCCCCAAAGCGCTGCACCCCTCATGCATCCCTCCAAGCAAACCTCCCTGCACACACTGCACCTTTGTGCACAGCCACATCTGCATGCCCCATCCTGCTGCATTCCTTGTTCCATGCACACGGCAGCCCTGAGCACGCCTCCTTTATGCACCCTCCCCATGGTGTTCCCCCTCCCATGCACCATCCCATCAGTCCACAACCTCCCTCCCCATCCCACCCCTGCACATACATCCCAATGCAAGAAGCCTCGTGCAAACTCCCCACTGCACACAATCCTCTGCATCCCCACTGCCATGCACATCCCCTGGTGCATGCATCCCAACGCATACCTCCCCCATGCACTCACCCTTGTGTATGCCCCCCCCACCATGCACACACATCCCCTGGTGCACAACCCCTCACCCAACTCATCCTCCAATGCAAACTCTTCCCACTGCATCCCCCCTTGTGCACACCTCCCAGTGCACACACCCCTTTGCATTCTCCCCCCCCCTCCCCAAGCATGCACTCTCAGCGCCACCCCACATTGCACACACGCCCTTTGCAACCCCCCCACTTCCCCAAAACCCCTCGAGTCCATTCTCCCTCCCTTCCCCCCCCCAAATCGCTCACCGACGGCGCACACTTTGCCTTCCCCCACCCACACTCCGGTGTAAGGCGGCGGTCGCCCGGCGGCACTCATCGCCCCGACCCTCCGGCACAGCCGCACCGCCACGTCCTGCAACCTCTCCACGAAGCCCCGCAGCTGAATTCCCCGCGCCTTCAGATCCAACACGGGGAAAGCCAACAGCTGCCCCGGCCCGTGGAACGTCACGCTGCCGCCCCTCCGCACCGCCGCCAACCCCGCGCCGGCCGCCCGCAGCCGCTCCGCCTCTCTCTCAGTCGGGGCACCTCGCAGCCCCCACGCGTATACGGGCCTTGCGGGTTCGCTCAGCACCACGCATTCGAATGGAGGACGTGGAGGAGGGCCCCGAGCCGCCCGCGCAGCCGCCACGCAGCGCTGCTGAACCCGCAACGCTTCTTCGTAAGGCCGCAAACCCAACGAGACCGCCCGCACGGCCGGAGCCGGCATGGCGGGGGAGGGGGCGTGGCCTGAGGGTACGGGCGTGGTCTGATGAACGTAGGCGTGGTCTGATGGATGTGAGCGTGGCCTGCCGAGTGTGGGCGGGGCTTGGGGAAATGGGGCGTGGCCTGAAGGTTGGGTTATAGACCGGAGGTGGGGCGTGGCCTGAAGGTGTGGGCGTGGCCTGAGGGCATGAGTGTGGTCTGGTTTGCGATGGTGCTTGGGAAATGGGGCGTGGCCTGTATGTGGGGGCGTGGTCTGTAGACGGGGGCGTGGCCTGTAGGATGGGAAATGAGAGCTGGGAGTGGGATATAGGGCTGGAGATGTGGGATAGGGAATAGGGCCTGGGAATGGGATATAGGGGATAGGTGTATGTGAGTTGGGAGTAGGTGTGGGGGCAGGGGACTGAGAATAGGGCCTGGGGTTAGAATAGAGGGCCTACGTGGGTGTAGAAAGGGGATAGGGTTCTTAGAATGGAATATAGGAGAAGGGGTGGGTGGGTGTGTGTGGGTAGGGGACAGGTTATAGGGCTTGGGATTAAGATATAGGAGCCAGGTATATGTAGGGGACAGAAAACGAGGCTTAGGAATGGGATATAGGGGGAAGGGATCATGTGTGTATGGCTAGGGAACAGATATGGGGACAGGGAATATGCTCTGGGATTAGGGACAGGGGACAGGGTCTGGTAATGGGATATAGGGGACAGGGGATGGGTGTATGAGAATAGGGGGCAAGCTTGGGGACAGGGGACTGGGAATAGGGCCTGGGATTAGGATATAGGGCCCTGGTATGTGTAGGAAGAGGATAGAAAACAAGGCCTGGGAATGGGATATAAGCGGCAGGGGTAGGTGTAGGTGTGTACGGGTAAGGAACAGGAATGGGGACAGGGAGAATGGTCTGGGATTAGGATCTAAGGCCCAGTTGTGTGTGGGGAGGGGGCAGAGTTCTTAGAATGGAATATAGGGGAAGTGGGGTGGGTGTATGTGGGTATGGGGCAGGTAGGGTTAAGATATATGGCCCAGGTATATGTTTGTAGGGGGCAGGAAATAAGGCTATAGGGATATGAGGATATAGGGGACTAGGGAACAGATATGGGGCAGGGGACTGGGGACAGGGAATATGGTCTGGGATTAGGATATAGGGCCCAGGTGGGTGTGGGAAAGGGACAGGGCTTGGTAAGGGAATATATGGAACAAGGGACAAAGTATATGGGGGTTGGGAGCAGGTGTGGGAACAGGAGACTGGGAATAGGGCCCTGATATATGTAGGAAGGGGACAGGAAACAAGACCTAGGAAAGGGATATAGGAGGTAAAGGACAAGTGTATGTGGGTTGGAAGCAGGTGTAGGGACAGGACTGGGAATAGGGCCTGGGATTAGGATATAGGGCCAAGGTGTGTGTATGTAGGGGGCAGGAAAGAAGGCCTGAGAATAGGATATAGGGGGCAGGGGACAAGTGTACGTGGGTAGGGAAGAGGCATGGGGACAGTTTATAGGGCCCAGGATTAGGACTCAGCTGTGGGACCCAGGGGATTAGGGATGGGAAACACGGCCTAGGAACGGGTTATTGGGGTCAGGGGACAAGTGTACATGGGGAGGGGGAATTGGAGGCGAGGAATAGGATCTTGGGGGAAGGACCCGGGTGTATATGGGCAGAGGGAAGTCATGGTGTTAAGAGAGCAGCAATAAGGGACAGGGTGGTTGTGGGGATAGGAATCAGCCTGGGAATGGGGTCTAGGGTGCAAGGGACAGGTATGGGTGGGTATGGGGTAGGCACAGGGACAGGGGATGAGAGAGCAGGAATAGGGGACAGGCATGAGAACAGAGGACTGGGAGCAGGGGATAGGGCCTGGGATTAGGATATAGGGGCCAAGGCCCAAGTATTTGTGGGAAGAGGACAGACACAAGGAAAGGAGACCAGAAATAGTAGACAAGGACAGGGGACAAGCGTGGGGACAGGGGTTCAAGGACAGGAAACGGGGTCTGGAAATAGAATATAGGGAACAGAATTAAGACAGCGGAGAATAAGAGACCAGGAATAGAGAGCAGAAGAAGGCAGAAGCATGGGGGCAGGGTATGGAATTGGGATGTTGAATTAGGAACTGAGATTAGAATACAGGGGATGTGGGTGATGGACCAGGAATGGAGGACAGGGGATCAAGAATAGGAAGCAGTGCTTGGGAATAGATACAGGGGGCAGGTGTGGAGATAAGGAGAAATGGGGAATGGG